TGGCACATCAGTCCCACAGAAGTATAAGGCTCTAGTAGATACCGGTGCACAGTGTACCCTGATGCCATCAAGCTGTCAAGGGGTGGAACCCATCTATATTTCTGGAGTAACAGGAGGATCCCAAGAGTTGACTGTGCTGGAGGCTGAAATCAGCCTGACTGGGAGGGAGTGGCAAAAGCACCCTATTGTGACTGGTCCAGAGGCTCCATGCATCCTCGGCATAGACTACCTCAAGAGAGGGTACTTCAAAGACCCAAAAGGGTACCGGTGGGCTTTTGGTATTGCTGCTTTGGAGACTGAGGAAATTGAGCAGCTGTCCACCTTGCCTGGTCTCTCAGAAGATCCCTCTGCTGTGGGGTTGCTGAAAGTTGAAGAACAACAAGTGCCAATTGCGACCACAACAGTGCACCGGCGGCAATATCGCACCAACCGAGACTCCCTGATTCCCATCCATCAGCTGATCCGTAGACTGGAGAGTCAGGGAGTGATCAGCAGGACCCGCTCACCCTTCAATAGCCCCATATGGCCAGTGCGAAAGTCTAATGGAGAATGGAGACTAACAGTAGACTATCGTGGCCTGAATGAAGTCACACCACCATTGAGTGCTGCCGTACCGGACATGCTAGAACTTCAGTATGAACTAGAGTCAAAAGCAGCCAAGTGGTATGCCACGATTGATATTGCCAATGCATTTTTCTCTATTCCTTTGGCAGCAGAGTGCAGGCCACAGTTTGCTTTTACTTGGAGGGGTATCCAGTTCACTTGGAACCGACTGCCCCAGGGGTGGAAACACAGCCCTACCATTTGCCATGGACTGATCCAGACTGCACTGGAACAGGGGCAAGCTCCAGAACACCTGCAATACATTGATGACATTATTGTGTGGGGCGATACAGCGGAAGAAGTCTTTGAGAAAGGGAGGAAAATAATCCAAATCCTGCTGAAAGCCGGTTTTGCCATAAAACGGAGTAAGGTCAAGGGACCTGCACAGGAGATTCAATTTTTGGGAATAAAATGGCAAGATGGACGTAGACAGATCCCCACAGATGTGATCAACAAGATAACAGCAATGTCTCCACCAACTAATAAGAAAGAAACGCAAGCTTTCTTGGGTGCAGTGGGGTTCTGGAGAATGCACATCCCAAATTACAGTTCGATTGTAAGCCCTCTCTATCATGTGACCCGGAAGAAGAATGATTTTAAATGGGGCCCTGAGCAGCAACAAGCCTTTGAGCAAATTAAACGCGAGATAGTTCATGCAGTAGCCCTTGGACCAGTCCGAACCGGACCAGATGTAAAAAATGTGCTGTACACTGCAGCTGGGGAGAACGGTCCTACCTGGAGCCTCTGGCAGAAAGCTCCAGGGGAGACTCGAGGTCGACCCCTCGGCTTTTGGAGTCGGGGATACAAAGGATCTGAGGCCAGCTATACCCCAACTGAGAAAGAGATACTGGCAGCGTATGAAGGGGTTCGAGCTGCTTCGGAAGTGATTGGCACTGAAGCACAGCTCCTCCTGGCACCCCGGCTGCCCGTGCTGGGCTGGATGTTCAAAGGCAGGGTCTCCTCTACACATCATGCAACTGATGCTACATGGAGTAAATGGGCTGCACTAATTACACAACGAACTCGAATAGGAAATCCCAGTCGTCCAGGCATTCTAGAAGTCATCATGGACTGGCCAGAGGGCAAAGATTTCGGAATGTCACCAGAGGAGGAGGTGGTGCGTGCTGAAGAGGCCCCACCATATAATAAACTGTCAGAAAGTGAAAAGCAGTATGCCTTGTTTACTGATGGCTCTTGCCGTATTGTGGGAAAGCATCGGAGATGGAAGGCAGCTGTATGGAGTCCTGGACGACAAGTTGCAGAAACTGCTGAAGGAGAGGGTGAATCGAGTCAATTTGCTGAGGTGAAAGCCATCCAGCTGGCCCTGGACATTGCTGAACGAGAAAAGTGGCCAGTACTTTATCTCTATACTGACTCATGGATGGTGGCAAATGCCCTGTGGGGGTGGTTGAAGCAATGGAAGCAGAGCAACTGGCAACGCAGAGGTAAACCCATCTGGGCTGCTGCACTGTGGAAAGATATTGCTGCCCGGGTGCAGAATCTGGTGGTGAAGGTACGTCATGTAGATGCCCATGTACCCAAGAGTCGGGCCACTGAGGAACACCAGAACAACCAACAAGTGGATAAAGCGGCTAAGATTGAAGTGGCTCAGATGGACTTAGATTGGCAACATAAAGGTGAATTATTTTTGGCCCGGTGGGCCCATGACACTTCAGGCCATCAGGGCAGAGATGCAACATATAGATGGGCCCGTGACCGAGGGGTGGACTTAACAATGGACACTATTGCCCAGGTTATTCATGAGTGTGAAACATGTGCTGCAATTAAACAAGCCAAGCGGTTAAAGCCTCTTTGGTATGGAGGACGATGGTTGAAGTATAAATATGGGGAGGCCTGGCAGATTGACTATATCACACTGCCACCAACCCGCCAAGGCAAGCGCCATGTGCTTACCATGGTGGAAGCAACCACCGGGTGGCTGGAAACATACGCTGTGCCCCATGCCACTGCCCGGAACACCATCCTGGGCCTTGAGAAACAGATTTTGTGGCGACACGGCACCCCAGAGAGAATTGAGTCAGACAATGGGACTCATTTCCGGAATAACCTTATAGATATTTGGGCCAAAGAGCATGGCATTGAGTGGGTATATCACATCCCCTACCATGCACCAGCCTCTGGGAAAATCGAACGGTACAATGGGCTGTTAAAAACTACACTGAGAGCGATGGGTGGGGGAACTTTCAAGCATTGGGATACACATTTACCAAAGGCCACCTGGTTGGTCAACACCAGAGGATCTGCCAACAGGGCTGGCCCAGCCCAGTCAGAACTTTTACATATTGTAGAGGGGGACAAAGTTCCCGTGGTGCATATGAAGAATTTGCTGGGGAAGACAGTCTGGGTTATTCCTGCTTCAGGTAAAGGCAAACCCACTCGTGGGATTGCTTTTGCTCAGGGACCTGGATATACTTGGTGGGTAATGCGGGAAGATGGGGAAGTCCGATGTATACCTCAAGGGGATTTGATTTTAGGGGAAAACAGCCAGTGAACTCAATTGTATGCTGTTGCCTGCTGTGTAATGCTTTTATAGCCCATCAACTAGATGTCTCCAGGTCACCAGCGACTGGCCCTGACTTCCCTCCAGCCATCATCCCAACAGAGAATGAACTTGGAACATCATGGACCGAATGGACTCGGCAGCATTATAGGGATTGGTCCATGCACTAAGAAAATGATTTTTTTTTTCCTCTTGGTCTGTATGTATATGGATGTATATATGTGGGAGAGCGATGGTGTATTGAAAATGTGGGATCTGAGCACGACGTGAATGGTATGGAATAAGGGGTGGATAATGTCCTGGGTTCAGCAGTAGCAGTCATGTTTTTTCCTTTGTGTTAACTGGTGCAGTGCTGTGTTTTGACTTCTAGTTTTGAGAACAGCGTTGGTGAAGCCGATGTTTTCGGTTGTTGCTAAGTGATGTTTACCCTGACCAAGGACTCTGTGAGGCTCATGCTCTGCCAGGGAGGAGGGGAAGCTGTGAGGAAGCAGAGACGGGGCGCCTGACCCGGGCTAGCCGGGGAGGTATTCCATACCACAGCACGTCATGCCCGGGGTGGGGGGTAACTGGGAGTGACCCGGAAGGACAGGAGCTTCCGGGTGGAACTCGTTTTCTTGGCCGGTGGTATCGTATTCTCTTCCCTTGTTATTTTCCCTTATCATTGTTTTAGCTGATAGTAGCGGTGGTGATTTGTTGCTGGACTGTTCTTGTCTCAACCCGTAGGAGTTGCACTCTCTCGATCCTCCTCCCCGTTCCTCCGGGAGCGGGGAAAGGGAGAGCCCCGGTGCAGGGAGGGGGGGGGAGACGAACACGGACCTTGATTGTTGTCAGCTTGGCACCACTCACTGGGAGTGAGTGAACAAGTTACCTGACTGGGTTTAAACCACGACAGTCACACAGAGTGACTTCTAAGAACATTTTCCAGAGTTTCCACATGTAATTAAATTTCCTTCAAACTATGACTGGAGTTTCATATAGTTAGCAGACATGTTACAGACTGCTGATGTTAAATACTGCAGCCACGTAAGTAGTACTAGCACCTGAAGACCTGGATCTGGCACTACAGCAAAAAGCAGCAACACTACATGAGAGAGCACAAAAACACGGCACAGATATGACATAACTGGCTGAGTCAAGGCCACAGACATCACATAGCAAGACGTCTCATAAGTAGTGGTGTTAAACAGATAATAGCTTGGTGATTTGGGCACTGCAAGGATTTTTTGCAGAGACCAATCATTTATCAGTCAGAAAACAAAGTGTCCCAGTACTTATCCGGGCTTTGAGTTTGTAAGAACAATAGGCCCTAAGCTCTGTACTGGCATATTGTCCTTCCCCATGTATGCAGTAAACTTTCGCTCCCAGAACTCTATGTTTCCACAGACTCGTCACATTGCATAGTATGCTATCAAAGATGGAGAGTCAATTCCAATTTTACCCAGAAATACTTTTCTTATAACTCCAACCTCTACCTTGCACTTACCAAAAGGCACTCCCGCCAGCCTCCACAGGCAGTGTGCAAAGAGCGTGCGCACCTTGACAGCTCCAGGAAAGAAACACAAATACATGAGCACAGTGGCTGCAGGCAGATGGAGAAGACTCACAGCTTTGTAACTCCCTCACCCTCGAAAGAACACCCCGATTCTGACGGACTGCCGCTCGCCCATCGCCCCCAGCTTGCGGGCCTGATACCCGCCGGACGATCCCTTCAGGGCTGCGGTCCGAGCGTCCGCACCACACATGCGCGCTCGCGGCCGAGGAGCAAAACGGAAACCACGGCTGCCATTTTCTCGCCCTTCTCAGGGCAGGCCAGGACCGCCCCTCACCGTTGCCGCCACCACCACCACCAAGGCGGTGTCTCGTCCCTGTCACTCACCGGCGGCGCGATGGAGTTCCGCCCACCGGCTCTAGCGCAGGGTTGCAAGGGCAGTTGGGCTCCTCCTCATCCTCTCCGTGGCCGCCGTAATGCCGAAGCTTAGCAAAGAGGCCAAGCAGCGGTTACAGCAGCTCTTTAAGGGCGGGCAGTTCGCCATTCGCTGGGGCTTCATCCCCGTTGTGCTGTATCTCGGTCAGTGCCGGACGGGGCACCGAAGGAGGGGTTTGGGGGCTGGGAAGGTGGGGGCCGTTGTCGAGGCTGAGAGACGGGGGCGCACACACCCCCCGCTCCCATCCCGCTAGGGCCGTTACTGCCCGTCCGGTAGTAAGCGGGGGGGGGGGGGGGGGGGGAGGGGGAGAGAGCGTGGGCGAGGCGCCCGGCGCCGCAACCTGGGCTCCGCGGCCTGTCCGTGCGCATGAGCGGATGGATGAGACAGGGGAGTGCTGAGGGTAGAGTGGCTGCTGGGATGGGTGTGGCGAAGTAGGGTGAAGGTTAGCCCTTGGCAGAACGGCGAGACGGGTTTTTTTGTTTGTTTTCTTTTTTCCCCGTCTTTCAAAAAGGCTTTTCTGCCCGTTTTCCTTCCGGGTGGATGTTTCCGCATGCCCAGTGAGGGGAGGACCTCCATCTGGGCAGCGGGCGGAGCAGGCATGGGAGCAGCTTAACAGCAAGCGAAGCTGCGATTAGACCATGCGTTAGAGACTGCGGGCTTTAGCAGGCTCGCCTGCGTGTTTTTTGCAGTAGGCAGCCGTGTGTGAGGAAGAGCCTTCTGCGTCCGGAGTTCTGCTTCGTAGCGCCTCAGCTTCGTGACTGAGATTGAATTTCCAGCTAGGTGCAGTCTCTCCCAAAATGGTGTGGGTGCTATTGATGAACTGCTGTGGTTGCCCCGATGTCATGGCTGGCGGCCCAGGGTGTGTTTCACTTGCTCCTGTCATGGGGCTGGCTAGGCATCACTACCGCGTGGTAGTTGTCCTGCCGAGTTTGGGCTGTGTGCCATCAGCTGTCCTCATTAAAGAACCTGACCCACTTAAAATACTAATGTGTGCAACAGGCCTGACATTTTTTTTTGCTTCTTTTATGACAAGAGGTCCCAGGAAGACCGATACCTGCTGTTAATCTGTTTTACCATTGGGCTTTTGTGAAAAACACCTTAGGCAGGTGTGCTCTGCCTTGAATGCAAACATTAAGGAGGGTTGGGAGTTTGGTATGTTTACAGTCCAAACTGATAGGTTGTTTTAATTGAAGGGAATATAGCCCTGCAGATTTGCAGGGCTTTGATTGTTCATGTAGTAGATACAATTAGGAGAAAGTTGGTCTCTTTAAGTTGCATTCATGCTTTAACAAGTACAAGAGGTCACTTCAAACACACACACACAAAACCCCAACCCTGAATTGGCAGTATTAAGTTTAAACTTCAATTGCATTTCCATTTTTAGTTAATCAGTTGTTTTAAATTGGTATCTTGTGGGTGGGAATTTCGGCAGTGTTTTGTGACCTAGTTTTGTGCTTGCTGAGTTTTTGTTTTAATTTTAACTTTATGACATTATCTGTGAATATTGGAAAAATACTCTTTGTTCTGAGGGACACCAGAGGAAATAAGTTAACTTCAAGTCATATTAAGCCATCTAATTGTGTTTATGGTTGTACTAGTATCAGTGTGCCTAGTATATTTGTTATGTTGCAGTGAGAAGCTAAGTTGTAGTAGTTTAACCTCATGCCTCCAGAAAATAAGTGTGCTATTCCACATCTGTATTGCCGCCTTCTGAATTTGTCTGCTCTAAGTGTGAGCAGATGGGAGGGGGGTGTGCAGGTGCCACCTTTACTTGCCTTTACTTTGGAGGTGGCATGCACTTGAATTCTGGTAGAATTGGAAGAACCTCTTTTGTTCCGGGATTACATTCGAGTCTGAGAGGGAACGTGTGATGCAGCACAACTGCAAGAGGCTACACAGCTCTTGATGTCACTAGTTGAAAGTAAATTTGTGTATTGACCCTTGTGTATATGAAATAGACACTAAACTAAACATAGGCAAGGAAACTTTCAGAATTAGCTTTAAACTTTTTCTGAAAGGCTTTCTGGGTCTCTAGGTCAGGATGGCATGCTCAAGGGATGTAAGAGGGAGCTTGGTGTGTGGAAGTGCAATTATAGGTAACTAGTCTGCGTTTTTTTTTACACTTGCTTTGAAGTGTCTGCCCTTGTTGTGTAGGTAAATTAGACCAGTGAGGCTTTGTTAAATCTGCCATTTTATTTTAACGTACTGGGAAGAGAGGAAGCCAGACACATTCACACACATGTTGTGTAACTCCATGTCACTGGAGTGTAACTCCAGTGTCACAAATTTTAAAGTGATTTTGCTGGACAGCATGGCAACCAAAGAAAGTGGATCAGTATGTTTAATAGTCTCAAATCACATAAGGTGGGTTAGCTCTTCAAAGAGCTAATGCAGTGCCCATGAAGTTGATGGAAGTTTTTCCATTAACCTTCATGGCCTATGTTTCAGTCAAGCCAACATTATTCATTTTCTGTAAACAAGGGAGATAATATATTTTTCATATAACATCAATTTCTAGGTAGCAAGTGTGGGAGACCGCATGTTGAACAGTGCATGAAATATATTATTCTGCTTCAAGACTTAAATTACGGTCCAGTGGGCAAAGATATTTCGTACAGTGAACCTTCAGTTGCTTCTCTAGTTTGTTTTGATCAGTTGGTATTTGAGTTATTATCTGGGCATGAACTCTTCATAATTAACTTTCCATTTTCCTGGGTGTGGGTAGATTCACAAACATCTTATTTCTTTGCAGGCTTTAGAACTAGGTGGGTTTTCAGAAAGTGCCAGTAAAAGTAGAAGATTTTAGGGTTTAATTGATTCAGCATTTAGAATTCTGTCATTCTACATTGAGTGAACTGTTACTGAAATATTACTTGTAAGTTCTGTATCAGGTGTTATTGCAGAACATTGCCTGTTAGGGCTCAAGGTGCTCACTTGTACCAGTTATAGGTGTCACTGGTGGTACTAAATTGCTTTCTGAACAACATTTAAAATCTGTGTGTTTGTGTGTATGTCTTGATAACTTCCTCCATCCCACATAGCTAGTTGACCCTGAATTTTAAATCAGATAAAGATGCAGGTAAGAATTAAAGGAAAACTATAAAAATGTACACTCATACTTATTTTCTCTGTTTTCTAACCCAGATTAGAACGTGCAGTTTTTATTCATGTTTATACAGAACTTCATAAATTGCAGTTTTCAGTGGGTTTTCTTTTTTTATTGCAGCTTAATGGGCTGGAATAATTTGATAGTGATTTAAGTACTTTGGCATCTGCACATACATGTTTTTCCATATATGTATGTAATATATGTTTCACTTCAGGTTTTAAGAGAGGTGCAGATCCTGGAATGCCTGAGCCAACCATCTGGAGGTATGTATCTGTTCCAAATGTACATGCAAATCCAGTTCAGGTAGTCACTGTTTTGAGTATTATCTCTGGACAGCAACAGTTGGAAAGGTTGCTTTCAGCCATTTTGGTTTTTTTATTATTTAGGGTGAAAGCATAGCTGCTTGAGGTTCTTTGTTTCTTTAGAAATTCAAATGAGAAGGCAAGCAAACACAGGTTCTTGGGATGGCCTTTCTCTTAGCCTTCCATGGCTTTTAATATATGGGACTTTCTGTACCTTTTCAGTGGAAGCTGCCCCTCTAATCTGTTGTAGGGCTAGTTTATGCAAGCTCCTGCACTTCTCAGCTCCTTACCATGAATTTAAACCAAAACCAAGTCTTCCTCTGCCTTTGAAGATATGGTAGCAACACTGCATAAAGGCTGCATGAAATAAATGGCTCTGTCCTTCAGTATTAGTCATTGTCGTGAAGCAAGTGCATTTGCTCATGTTGCCTCTTCTGTAGGGGTGTTTATTAATGCTTCAATATCATGAATTGAATTGAATTCTTGTGGTGTGTGAGTTTTATTGGAGGGCTCCCTTGTGTCAAAATAATTAAAGCTCTGAAGAAGGGGTGACACTTCTGTTTTTCTTGAAATAATTTTGGTTAATATAAAGAACCAGGTATTACTAAGACAGAGAATTGATAGACTGTATATTTTGCAAAGTCACGTATTAACTCTTCTAGCATTCACAGAGTTACAGTGTGTAGGAATCCCCTTTTCAAGATACGGTGATTCAAGGGAGCTACTTCTAACAGTAGAAAATATGGAAAAAAGTGTCAAGATCATGTTAGAATTTCAGTAAACTCTGTTGTCTTAAGAACTGACTTGGAGTTGTTTGTTGTTTGGACAGTGTTTCCATGTTTAGCTTCACTAGCAGTTTGAGACCTGGTCGACTGTGTCTGCAGAGTACACTTACATGCATTTCATACCAGAATGTTATGTACATAGATACCGGAACCATGTGTTTGCTCTAATACAAAGCTTACAAATGCTTATTTCTCTGAGCACATGTTCATGCTCTGTAGGCTTAAATTTTATTTTAAAGGTGGCATTATTTCAGTATTTTGGGGCTAGCATTTATTCTATACATTTATAGGGCTGTTCCTCCAGCTTTGTGTTTTCCAAATATCCATTTAAAAGGAGGTACATGCTGCAAATCTGACTTTCGTTTCCTTCCTCTCCCCTTCCAGTCTACTTTGGGGATGAAGGAAGTGGTGGTCCTGTTCTAGAACCAGCTGATGGACAGAGAAAGTATCTGAAGATGCGCATTCCAGAGGATGGGGCGGACACTTAACCAGCTGGCTCAATCAGCTTTCTAATGCCATAGGTTGTACATACAACAAAATGGAGTTTATATGGACCTAACTTATTTGCATAACAGTGTAATTAAATAAATACAATTTGAATGGATATGCATTGTTTTTAAGTCTTTACATAAGTTTAATGTAGTAATACCTCTGTTACAGAAAGGATAACCCATTCCAAAACGTGGTGACATTCAACCCCCATATTTATCTCAGTTAAAATGGTCTTTTGGGTGGATTCCTTTTTATCTTCAGAGTAACCAGAAAAGTGAGCTAATGTTTTAAATACTTCAATAATCTTCAAAGATTTCTTTCCCAAATGTTGGTAAGC